GCCATTCGACAGGTAAGTCTGGTATCGTGGGTGCTAGTAGAGGCTTCTACAAGGACAATCTTGGCCATTGTGCCTTCAATTGCATCTTTAAAGTAGACCATATCTGTGGCTATATCCTTGAGCAGATCTGCCAACATAGTTTTGAGGTGATCCGCTGTCACAGGTGCCCCCGGCTGGTGGCTGTGTGAGAGAGTACTCAGTTGGCAAGGCCAGTGCCGAGCCTCTTAGAGGTCCCTCTCCAAGATCTGAGGGGGTGCCATCTGATGAGTAGAGAGAGCTATCGTCTTCCAGCACCATCTTATGCCATGCGGCTTGCTGTGAGTTCCACAGGAGTTCTCCGATATCTCGGACATTAGGGCTTTTTCCAGGTTTAGGTTTTTTGTTTTTCTGCCCATTGTGTTCCCTGAAAAGGGAGTGAAATAGTTAGCTGGCTGTGTTGGTTCAGAGCTCCAGATATTGCGACTGCTCTGTTCCGCGACTAGCTCCGTCTCCCTGATTAGGCATTTTTAACTGACTTCTAAGGACTGACTTCTCACCAACATGTGTAGTGCCTGAGGGATGTTCAGTTCCTCAAACTACTACACAACCAATATGTTTCTTCTCTTTTTAAATTACCCAATAAGCAATAAAAATAAATAGCAAAATATTTTTAATATTATTATTTCTTTTTGCTTATTTGGTAATTAAATTGTCTTTACCAATTAAGTTATTTTAATTTATTTAATATTTTATTTTGGTCTTGCTTTATTTTTGAATTTTTTTTTATCTTAAACATCTTAATAATCCTGAAAAAAGACAGCTGTACTTACTGCACCTTAACCACTTGTTAGTGCATATCCCAGGTGGATAGTATTATGAAGCCGTGAACCCCCACAAACTAGCATGAAAGCCCACAAGAGGTTAACAATTTGAGCCCTACCTGGTTGTCACCACCTTGATTCTCTATTGATTTTTCACCTTTACGTTCAATATTTTCATCATCCTTAAAAACAAAAAACAACTCATTCAGCGTGTCTTTATACCTTCCAAGATTGTACTTATATGTGTATTTATTGTCGTGTTTCCTTACTGTGCTGTATTACTACCATGCTGAGTGAAGGAAAAAAAATAAAGAATTTAAAAATGCCTCATCAAATATATAGTGTGAAAAACAAATGCATTTTTAATGGTCTTCATAACTTATGGCGGTGTAACACTGGGTATTTTTAAACAACATTTTGAATCTATTTAGCAGTTTTTTTCATTCGCTTTTGTAGATGAGTAAAAGATTTTTCAAGTAAAAGTCAAAAAACATGTATTTTTTTCAATTTTTCATCATATTTTTTTATTTTTTTTAAATTAAAATACATGAGATTATATAAATAATGGTATGTAAAGAAAGCCCCTTTTGTCCTGAAAAAAACAATATATAATTTGTATGGGAACAGTAAATTAGAGAGTGGAAATTTACAGCCAAACACAAACACGACAAAAGTGTAAAAATATGCCTGGTCGCAAATGTACAACATTGCAAAAACAGTCCAGTCCTTAAGGGGTTAATATTTCTACACCAACATTTGGTACAACCTTTTATTTTTATCTCTACCTTTACTATATATACACTCTCTTTATTGTTGGGAATTCCAAATTTCAGTTTTTGCTGCCTATTGGAACTAGCACAGTGTTTGCTGCCTATTGGAACTAGCAATGTATTTTTTTTTTCCTTCAACTCGTAGCTTGTGCCTTGCAAGGTTATATAAGTAGGGCCTCACCTGTCACTCATATTCTATCCATCCTATGCTGGTACATGTTACAGAGAGGTCAACACTCCACCACATCATTTGCCCCTCAGTATGTTGCATATATAGAGCCTCTCAAGCCACTTGTCAGCTATCAGGGCCTCACCTGTCACCCATCTAGTTAATTTCTTGCCATTTGTTATTAGTCAGTAATCCAGTAATTCCCATAGAAACAAAATATGGGGATTGTAATAATTGTTTTTGGGTGTGTTTTTTGTAGCATTTCTTTCACTTCCTAGCATCCCAGCTAGGGCTAGTATCCATTCAAGGAGACAATAATCAGCAAGTCCAAGCTCCATTAGATTATGGACAATTCTAAAGATCACTGCAGAGAATTGAGAAGAACAAATATCCTTTCCTTGGCAAAACTGTTTAGACTCATGAAGTCCAATACTGGGTATGCTGATAATGCTGTTAAAGGGTGCAGTTGCAATTGCATGGCAGAATTACATGCCATGATGACTATAGTCCTTTCATCCATTGGTCAGTTTAACAGAAGCCTTGAGAAACTGGAATCAGCCAATCTGGCCATGGTTCCAGAAATACCTGCTAGCCCTGTCCCTGTATGTCTTCGTACTCTGGATCAGTGTAACCCATTACTTTCTTTTTTTTTCCTTTTTTATATTTGGTATTCATTTTTTTTTAATCCCCCCGCCACACAAATGGACACCCCAGCTCATCTGGTTCACCCTAAAATTAGGAAAGATATGCTGGAAGATAAACATGTTAATTCAATCTCAATACTTATTGTTTCTCATGTTATTTTTAGAGAATAAGACCTATTTTTACAAAAATTTGTCCGTGCTCTGCATTCTACGATTATCATCACTTCTTTTCAGCTAAGGAGACGTCAGCTTTAGCTCAATATAATATCAAAAGTGACTGGAGCCCATTGGATACAAAGCTTTTCTTCAGACATTGTGCAGGTTTCACGACACCAACTTGTGCAATCTACTACTCTACTTCACATTCTTCAAATAGAAAACAGTTAATCATTGACTACTAGGCTTCAGTATGGCATCTACATTGGGTCAAGTGCTATATAAATAATAACATAATAATAACATAAGATTTACCTTTGGCTCAAAAAGCAGCCCAAGGCTTTTTTGACATTTTCTCTGAGACACTGTGCTAGCTATTACTTGAAACCTGTAGAAACCTCTGTCCTGCAGTCTATTATGTGGATGATTTTCTAACAATTTTAAGTACTACTAAGCTACCATGCAGCTTAAATTACACAATGCAGTTGTGACTCAGTTTAAGTTGATATAACAGAAGGTTCCAGTAATAAGATTAGGCATCCAGCTAGACTCAGTGGCCATGGAAGCCAGCCTCCCTATGGATAAAATTACTAGAATCTTGTCTAGCATTGAGGTTTGTATGCAACAGGGTTTGTGTAACCACAAAAAACTACAATCCCTGTTAGGTTCCCTTCATCTTGCCATGATGATCATCCCTCGAGACCGTTCCTTTATTTCTAGACTGCTCTGTTTATTACCAGGTCTCCCCAATGATGATAGTCAAGTAAACTTAGGGGCTCAAGCAATGGCAGATGTTTATAGGTGGCAGAGGTTTCTACTTCAGTTGAATGGGAAGGCCATGTTTCTTCTACCTCTGTCAAATATGTCACCAGTAGTCAGTACCAGTAGTCAGTAGTGATGCCGCATTCTCAACACATTTTGTGCTGAGGATGCGATTTTTGGTGATGATTGGCTGTGGAAATGGTATATTGAAATAAACTAAAGTTAATAAAACAGATTTTTGAATTTTAATTTAAACAGGTAATACAGTGTCTCTTTAGCTATTTAGCTCATGCTTATATTATTTAAAACTGCTATTTTAAAGTTATAGATTTTTTTGGGAAAAGACTTCAACACTAATTTAACACAAAAATATATAAAAAGTATAAAAGTTAAAAAAAAAAAAATTTGAGAGTTCACATAAGGACTTTATTGCCACACAAATAAACATTCTACCATCAATGAATGTTTAATGTGCAAAGTTCTTGAAAAATATTGAAGCTACTTGCAATCCCTCTTCATAATTTGACAGGGCAGTTTACGTTTAGGAGAACAAAGAACCGATCATTTTGGAAAGCAAACATGATACAAGCTATCTCTGTGCTAACTCTTGAATATTGGGCTATGATTAAGACACTTTTTTTATGGAACTTTAAAGTAACAGCATGTTATTGCAGTAATGGATACTTACTATACTACATATAACATACTGCATAGAATGTGTGGTTTAAAACAGGAAATATTGAAACTATATTAAAAATAGTAGCTAGATCCAAAAATATTACCCCTTTACCCCTATGATGTACTATGTCGTCCTACACTTTGTCGGATTAAATGCCATTATGGCAGCATAGTACTCCATAATGTTTTGCAGCCCTGCGGCCCCAGTCCCTCTGCAGCACATCACATACTGGCCACACTGGCAGTCTAAAGCACTGCCTGTTGGGGATTTTAAGTTAGCCAGTCCCCCCAAGCTGGAAAATAAATTTTTAAAAAGTATCTATCTATCTATCTAGCTATCTATCTAGTTTTCATATACATATTTGGGTGTCCAGGCCAACTCCCTGATTTTGCACCCCTCCCTGTCACAGGTGCCTCATTCCAGGGCCCTATTTAACCTTACTGCAGAGAGCCTCAGATGGAAGTTTTTGTTTTTGTAATTCTTTATTTTGTTGTACATAAGTGAAAAAGGAATTCTGCAATGCTACAACAGCATATGCAGGGACATTAGTTAACATATGAAAACACCTTGCATAAGGTCATATACATTGAAGAACGTTGTATTAGTAGGCAATTTGATGGTACTGCACATTTTTGATGTAATATAATCAGGCTAGAGAATCATGCCAAAGGACACAGCTCACATTAAAATGGCAATGCTAAACATATTGAGTAAACAAGATGAACACACAATCTAGGTAAATAGACAGGTGACTATGTCCCAGACACAGAGATAAGTAGCAGGACACCCAAGGGGCCCTCCAGGTAGTGTCTTTCAATAAGACTACACAAGGCCAACAATGTTAGTTGCCTCTATAAGGTTGAGTAAAGACAAACAAACTGTATGATATAAGGTACCATGTGTAGGGAATAAAATAAAAAAATAAAAATAACCAAAACATTATATTGTATGGAGGCATAATGAGGTGGGGGGTAATGTCGGCCGTCAGGAGTCCTATGCCCTTCAGGGCACTTTATATACCAGGATCAGCCAGGCAGTCAGCAAAAGTGAGAGACTCAATTTGGGCCGCAGGATCATTAGAGCGATGAGTTGAATTGCATCTAGCCGCAGTTCCTGGTGCCTTGTCAGTGGGTCCGGCACTCGTGATAAGGCTGATTTGGACCACCTTTCGAGCTGTTCCATTGGTGAAATATGCTTTGTTTCCCAATGTCGCGCCCGCCTGGGCAACTCCGCCAGGTTTGGTTGCACCTTCGTCTTGGCGCCATTCTCCTTCTCTGAGGGTGCAGCAATGGTCTTCAGCAGGTCTAGGTTTTTCAGTGATTGCATTAAATGCACAGAGTTTATCGAACAGAGCAGGTGAAATTGTTGGAACTATAAGTTATACAGCCTAAGGTATACCTGTCCACTATAAGTTTAATTCATACAAAGTTATTTGTACACAGTAATTGAAACATCAGCAGTTGTCTCTTTAGGTGTTGTGCTAAGACTGAGTCTGAGTCTGAATTCTTGAGTACAATCCCTTTAACATTCTCCTTTGTCCTATTCGGAGTATTAGAATTAAGACCATATTAGTATTTAACCAATACATAGGTTAACATGACTCCAAATATAGGTGTTTTTAATATCATTATCCCATTTTTATATTTAATTGTATGCATATATATTTATAACTATTAATGTTAGTAAATATTGATATTTCCCATCATTTGATGGATAACGTTTTAATTGTATCCCTGTTATTACACATCATTCTATATATTTATATTTATACTATTGCCCAGACATTCCTTCTGTTTTATTATGATTAATATGTCTACCTAATATTTATGAATTATACTAAGGCAACCCACTTTTTTGTATTTATACCACCTATGCTTTACTTTTAATTTATGACCATGATTATTCCCATTTGAAGATATAAGTACTATAATATCTTTTTTGTGTTTTGTCTTCCTTCGTTTTCATACTACTCCTAATGGACTCTAAATGAACTACCTAATATATATAAATGCATCACCTTGCATTCCAAAGTGACTGCACAAGAAGGGTGAAATATATAAAAACTCCACGATCGCAGTGGAACGCATGGATGCATTCCAACATATGGAAATAGACGTATACCAGATGCGTTCCAATAATGGAACGCAAAACCCGGAATCAGAAGTGGAACGCGAAAGAACGCCAGCAAGAGACGCCAATTATGGACTATTTAAAAGATAACCCACAGATAGAACAGCACAGCAGCAACTGAGGAAGCCTCGTAGTAAGGCAAAACGCGTTGTGCACAACCAAGGACTTACAGACACTTTACTAAGGACTTACCTTTTAAACTGTAAGGTTTTGATTTCATACATTTTATTTAAAATTTTATATTATTGTGCACTTTATAATATAGCACCTTTTTACTTGTACTTACTACTGAGAGAATATTTGATTACCTGAAACCATCTATCAATACAAAGAAAGAAGTGGGAACCTTTATATCCCACAGAGCTGGAAGTTTGAACCTTATTCATTGGCTCCAAGCCAGTGCATTTCTACCCACTATTTGCACTTTACTCTGTACAACTGACAATATTGCACTATTGTTTGCCTTTTTATATTTTACTTTTAGGACGATATTCGTCTAAGAACTGTTTTAACCAAAATAAGAAATACACTCCACCTTATATTGTATGTATATTTCTGTTTGTTGTGAGATTTAAGGGAAACTCACTAAGGTGTCAGAGTATCTATTATTATTTTTTTTACTCACTGGGATCCTGTAACTGTTTAAGGACATATGGAAAGCCTGTGCGAAAACATCAATATGCACCTCCCCACAGGAACAAGCTTACAAAACACTACTTTGGTGGTACACAACTCCCGTCAAACAATGCCACATGAAGATCTGTCCCACAGATACCTGCTGGCGCTCATTGGGGGAAAAAGGCACCTGCATACACATGTGGTGGCACTGCATCAAAGTCAATACATACTGGAGGGAGGTGGTGGATATGGGCTCCCGAATCCTGCAAAGGAGACTATCACTTGACCCCTGGGCATGCTTACTGTCTCAACCCACTGACGGACTAGACAGATACAAACAGAGACTACTGAATATGCTATATCTAGCAGCTCGCAGTGCGTTAGTCCAATACTGGATAAAGCCCGAGATGCCCCCACTCTCTTTGGTCTTGTCCAAAATTAGAGATAACTATCTGATGGATAGAATGACAGCTCAGGTTCACAACACCACGGCTACCTTTCAAAAGGTATGGGCACTGTGGGAGCAATCTGAAGAGTAACTTGCACTCAGGAACGGGGGAGGAGAGGGGAGGGGGCCGCGAGCAGGCCCACACCTCCGGTGCCAAGCAACTAACTGCCTTTTCCACACATAATGGAGTAGACCACACAAGCATATAGTGTGGGAATGGAAGCCTGAGTACTATTGAAACCACCAGTGCCCAAAATATGTAGATACTGGAGCTATACCTCACGATATGCCTCACTTGTACACATTACTGTACCTTTTGTATATACTTACTGTTTCTGGTATACCTATACATGATAAAACTCTGACAGACAGCAAAATTATATTAACTATGTTCCATGGCTTTTGCACAAGCCAGAAACCAAGCTGTTAATGTACTACTGCTCACTCTGTCATTATATAAAGAATAATAATAAAAAAAATACTGTAAGGTATGTACTTATGATATTTAGTTGGCCTTTCCAAACAATATAATAAGCTGCACATATAGCAGTACCAAGCAAAATAATTTGTCACACTAGATTTATAAAGTGTTTTTTTCCCATTGAATTTAAACGCACATAGTAGTGTATGAGGCCTGATAATACATCTAAACAAATGCATTAGAGAATTTTGATTTTGTGTTTACTAAGACTGCATTGAAAATGTAGAATAAATTGGTAAGCATCATTAGAACTACAGTTTATAATTCAGCTATAAGTTTACCAGCAATGACTGCTTAGTGAATAAACCCAAGTGTTTATTGTACAGTTTCCCTGTGAATGAAAAATAACAACAACAAAAAAAAAAGTGTCCCATTAAATTAATGTTCAAATGGCAAAAGTGTTAACAGTATTAATATCTGATGTTCAAGTGAACTGAAAATCCAGTAAGTAGCACTGCAAAGCTATTTTGACTTTTTGGCTCTGCATGATTGTACGTGACCTCAGAAGATAAAGCATTTGGGTTGTCCTTGAAAAGAGAAAAGAAAAAGTCTTGTTTGAATTTAGCCCAGTATCTATCCAATTTTCAACTTGCCGTCACATCGAAATGAGAAATCTGAAGCTGAACCAGGCACAAATAGCTGATAACAGACTTTCAGGTGAACCTCCTCACTTATCACTCCTTGGGGTCACCTCTGTTTTTAAAGACTTGTTTTACTTAAAACAAGATAGCTCAGGACATTTAACAGTGTAGTGAAGTGATAACAGATCCAGAACCACTTTCATTTTACACGTTCTCTCTAACCACTTTTTTTTTTACTTACAATGGCGCAATTCATGTTTTATAGGTTTATTCACAAGGTCAAGTTTTCAACATAAATATGAAAATATGAAATGTTATGAATGCTAAGAAGCAATTATTTTTACATGGAGTGAAATAATTTGTTTTTTGTTATATTTTACATTACTCTTAATACCATTTTCCAAATATGCCTTTCCAAAACATTAGAAACAATGCTGTAGTATTCTAAAAAATTTACATTATGAGATTTTTGTATTCAATCTTTATTTAAAACACTGAAACAAGATTAAAACTATATTTACACATTTTTTTTTTTTTTTTAGCAATAACAGTAGTTGCAGGTCACAAAATACAAGGAGCAAGATAACATTTCAATGTGGAGAGATTTTTAGAATTTGGTATGTTTGTCTTGTAAGTTTATAACAGAAAATAAAATTGACACACAAAAGTATATATTTATATATATTTACCCAAGGGTATGTATTTTGAGACTTATTATGTAGCCATTTAACTTACAATCTCTATTAAATATCGTAGCAAAATTTTGTTTTTCAGATTTTTTTATATAGACACGTAGTTTTTTTATTTTTTAAAATGTGCTCAGGTAAATACTAGAGTCATGTAGTCACGGAAACTTATACATAAACAGAACAGAAATTTAAGCCTGTGGGTAAAGTATATGAATCATACGGAGATATAGCGCTTTCACATAGGCAAAACAGGTCAATCTGCGCAACAAGCACTTTGCAATGGCAGGTACCTATGTGGTACAGGTTGCGTAATATAAAAACACTTGTTTAGTATGTGGTGTGCTACCAGTTCCATGAATGCCTTTTCCTGCTATCATCATATCACCTTAGTTAAGGATGTGCACACTAGGCCAAATGTAGGCCACCTCTGGGTTCTGAACTGCTTGTGTGCTGCCCTACCCTTGAGAACACTGGGTTTTGCAAGGTTGCCCAGTGCTTGTCTGGATTGGGGGACAGTAAGTAGGATAGTAGAAAAGCGAGAGATAGAGAGAAAGTAGAGAATATCGGGTATGTTCAAAACAGGTGGTGAACCCCTGTGGGGCATAGTGGTGTAGTAGTTGAGTGAGGGTTATGGCGGATGGTTTTGGGGGTTCAACTCTTTCCAGTCAGTGCTATGTTGGGGGGGCGATGTCTGCCTTTTCCCCTTGTTCTTTTGATCTCGGACCAGTGACACCATGGGCTATTGGTATTGTGTTATATCTTGGCCTCCCAACCATTCCTCCCATTTGTTCCAAACAGTCAACCTCTAATTGGCTCAAGTCTCCAGTGGCTCAAGGAGGGGGAGAGAGGGCAGCCCAGACGTGACCGTTTGCAAATTACTCAGAAATAAAACCCTTGTATAGTATTTTGTCTCTGGGTGCATTGTTACACCTATCAGATGTTGTGGAGGAGATTCCGTGTGGTAGGTATCTAGGTCCTTGTCACATCAGTGCAGCTTGAGGCAGTGTACTTTTATGTGCCCCCGTGGCTGTAGGATAATGTCTTGCAGGGACTGGGCAAGCCACGGGCAGTCCCGAAGTGTACCTGCTTTGGCATTGTAAACCCCATTGTGAGCTATTCCTCTGGGTGCTCCTGTCTGTGTGCGGCAGTATTCCTTGAAGTGTGTGGGGAACCACTCAGTTGCATGTCCTTTCTGCAATGTCTTGGTCTCAGCAAAGGCAGTATAGGAAATAGATGTCCCCTATCCAGAGTCCTTTAGAGTGAAACAATAATCAGCGGTGTATCAGTGAGCTTATATCAACGATTGGTAACTATTTACATATGTCTTTCATATGCTGATTAACATATCATTCTCTTCCAGTCGGGTGGTAGCGTGTTGAGTTCGGCAGAAGCGTCAGGTGTAGTTGCCAGCTGGATGTCCTATTTTCTCAGGTTAAGTATCGTGATTGTCTGTCCATATCAGGTGACTAAAAGCCAGATGGAGAACCACCATCTATAGGGGATTTGGTGCTTCCGCAGTGCTGTTGTCATGGGGGCAAAGGTCCTCCTCGCTGCTGGTGTAGCCGGAGAGATATCTTCAAAGATTTGTATGTCCTGATATGCTGCAGCCAGAGATTTTGCATTTCTGCTCACTTGAAGTATCACTTCTTTGATATGATGATAGTGTGTTTGAAGCACACTATCATGGAGGGCAGTGCACCACCACGGATTCCAGAATCCCCCTGATCCTTATGTTATTTTGGCGTGACCAGTCTTTGAGATCTGCAAGTTTGGTGTCATGGGAGGACAGGTGTGTCTCCAATTCTTGGACCTTAGCGATTAGAGAGTTGTGGATGGTCGCTTGTTGATCCATTTTGGTTTCTAAATGTGCTGTCCTGTCGCCGATGTCGCGCATTTCTTGCATCAGCTCGGAGACTGAGGTTTGAAATGGGGATAACAGTTGCTTGGATTGGACATCCAGCACCTTTTGTAGGATGGCTGCTGTTATGTGACCTTTGCCATCTTGTGAGGGAGGCAGGAGGGAACATGAGTCCTGGCTGTCTCCTGATTCGTGGTTGCCATTCTGGAGGCCTACTTGGAGCACCGGCTGTTTAGTTTGGCTTTTTGCCTTAAAAAAAGACACACGGTCAGCCTTTCATTTCCCCTTGTTATGGGACATCGTTCCCGGTTAGAGTTTGCCTAATTATGCAGGTGGGAATCGAGCTGGGCGCTTAATCTTAGTCTTTATTAATGCGGTGTAAGTGATGAAAGACTTATACCAGTAAGTGGAGCGCTTTTAGTACATATAGCTTACCAAATGGTTTCTCATTCAATAGTAGAGTACAAAGCGCATGTCAAAAGAGAAATATAAAAAAATACAATATAGTGCAGACGGTTTTAAAATGAAATAAAATAAAAGTATAATGGTGGTGTCTTGATAAATGGAAGACTCACATTTTAGGGAGCCTGTATATAGAAACACTGGCTCTGTATTTTGGCTTTTGTGCTTTTTTTGGGGTAGCACCGCCCGTCTCCTTAGATGTGGGGTATTTCTCAAAGATAAAAATAGGAGAAGCAGACCAATGTGTAGATGGTGTTTATAAGAACACAGTATTATTAGAAATAAGTGGTGTGCTCACCTGGAGCCAGTGTTTCTATATACAGGCTCCCTAAAATGTGAATGTTCCATTTATCAAGACACCACCATTATACTTTTATTTTATTTCATTTTAAAACCATCTGCACTATATTGTATTTTTTTATATTTCTCTTTTGACATGCACTTTGTACTCTACTATTCAATGAGAAACCATTTGGTGAGCTATATGTACTAAAAGCGCTCCACTTACTGGTATAAGTCTTTCATCACTTACACCGTACTAATAATTTCAATTTTGTTTTGTGGAATAGAGGATACTTCCACATAAGTGTATTGAGCAGCTTGGAGATCACTGTTAAAACACTCTGTTATACACACTCCTCTGTAAAAGGAGGTATTCTTTGCTTAATCTTAGTCTGCCTGGCATGAAGCTTCGATCTCACATGGTCATCCTGGTTGGCATTCGGGTCTCCGCCCCCATGACAAGTTTTTTTTAATGACTATTTCTCAAACCTGATGTTTGCTACTTCTGTACACAGCCCTAAATTGTGTTCAGCTACATATTCTAAATACAATAATAACCCCAAGTGATACAGCTAGAATTTGAGAGATGGGTATTGATGGGCCTATGTCATTTTACAGCATTATAGCATAAGTATGACTGTTTAAATTTGTGAAAGCAGACAAACCAGGGTATCTCACAAGGTGCATATTATATTGTTCCTTAACTTGCTGACATTTTTTTACCGATTTATGTCAAAGTTTGTGGTACTTTTTTTTTTTAAATTCATTTTTTAAAATACACTGTGACGATATGGCCCTTGTGTCTCTTGGACCAAAGGTGTACAAGTCCAGACCTGCTATCGTCTGTATGTTTCTTTGCCTAACCTGCACCACTAACTCCTCAACTAAGCCCCACGGTTACATTTGCTTGGTAGCAGACTCACAGGCAACACAGGATATATTGTGGTTGTATGTTCCGACTGTTACAGAGTATACTAACAAGCTTGTTCAGTTCAGTTCAGTTCTTAGCATGACTGAAACTTACATAAATTCCAACTAACACCTCAGAAAGAGACTAGACACAAGCTTCTTGATAGCAACTTGTGGAAGCACTCTAGACTGAACCAAAAGTGAGTGGGAAATATACTACTGCACGCTATTTAAACTGTAACTGGTGTTAAGCTCCAGACTATTTGAGTGGGCATTCACACATTTTATGTTGTTTGTTTAACAGTTTGTACATTAGTCTGCCCCATTGATTATTTTTCCTGCTCTTTTTCATGTACCAGTGGATTTAATGCCAAGTCTCATCAGAAGCAAGAATATTTAATGCAAAGAGAAAGTCGTGGACTATATCACGCAGGACTTTTATCATAATTTTCTACCATACTCACTATTTGTTTGTTATAAGGCACAACCTGTTCTTTTGTTTGTCTGTGCTTATCATTTGGGTCATAAAATGATTTCTACTTCCTTTTCAGTGTTTGCTACCTCAGGTAGTCCATTGTTTAATTATCTAGCACTTATCCTCTTTGTATATATTTTTTGTTTCACTATGTAAAGGGGCCTTATTCTACATATCAAGTACTTGCAATGATGTAAGGCATGTCAAGTACTATTTAACTGTATTTTTTTGTGTACATATTATTAGACATTGTTACTTTGCATCTTTATATTTTGTGAACATTTTCTCACGTGTTTATATCTGTTTATTGTTATATCTCTGTGTTCCACTAATCTATGTGCTCCCTATCTTTATATGTGCATAAGACCAAGCATAATCTTATATCATACAACCCTTCAAATATCCTCACACCTAGATTTTTTAAAATCACATTTTACCCAGTTATTAGCTCTAGCACCAAGCATTCAAGAATATATATATATATATATAATATTAAGAATTTTTTCTATAGACATTTATAGATATTTGTTCATTCACCAGCACCAAAGTGAATTAACTGGTATAACAAAACAGGTCAACAGCCAAGGATTGTATCCACAAGCTTCTACCTTTATTGCTTTGTGAGAAAAAAAACAAAAATTCAAATGATGGAAATTGCACCAGTGAAGCTATTCAATTACATACATTAAAAATAAAAAACTTAACAAACATTAAAGCAATTGTCAGTCACTTAAGTGAATATTACTAGAAGCTATTGGAAAGAAATTCTGATTCAAAGCCTGCCACTAGGAATAGCAGCCGGTGAATCCTGACTTAATTATGCCAAAAGATTTCTCCCCAAACTTCAAACTAAACTCCATAACATTTCCAAAACAGCAATTTGGAGGCACTGTTAGTTGTATGAGGAAACTAAACAAGGACATATTGAATGCTCTGGATACCAAAACTATGTTTTAACTGTGAACGTTACATATACATTTTAATTGTGTATTTCAATTGAATATACATGTCTACATAATGACGTATTTCCTAATTTAATCTTATTTATTTGAGATTCCTACAACCTTATACTTCTCTATTCATTGTCAGAAATAAAACAGCAACAGCATTTCTTTTTCCTTGACATATTTGGAAGATAAAGATAAGCCTATCAGCTGACACCACCTGCAAAGAGCATGTCAGATTTTGGTCTGTCCTGGGATTCTACTGCCTTGTGTTTTTGAGTGTTCTTCATAGACTTTGTTCAGACACATTTCTATCCTATTTTTAGCAGCTTTAGTAGGCTTGTGTGAAACTGACAGCCTTCTAAAACAGCATTTCCACTTTTTCATTTTATTAACAATTTATTCTAGCAGATGCAGACTAAAAATATGTTTTAGAAAATATAGATTCCATATGAATATAATCATTCTTTAATGTATGTAATATATTGGGTTACAATTGCAATCTACATGTAGGTATCCATATTAATAATGAAGATGCAAATTAATGAAAGTATTGAAGAAAAACTTTTTATTTTGCACCAACAGTTTTTTTTTTTACTCTGCCTTCCTTCATCAAGTCTAAATCATTTATGACTAGAGTGAAACATGAATGTTTTCTCTAGTAGATTTGGAATTTTATGTAGTTAACTGCTATTTGTGCAAATTTGGGCCGATATGGGGATCGGCCAAACACTAAGCTGAAATGTAGTTGAATCATGAACCAAATAAGGTGCACTATGACCAAACATGCTGATTTTTATTTGTGATTCTGAACTCCATTCATGGTGCCCCCCCACACCCCCCAAAAAAGAGTTATTCATGGGGACAAAAGATGACGGTTGGCTACGGACAGTCAGAAAAAGTAGATATTATTCATAGATCAAGTAAGAAGTGTGCAATAGAGGGGAAACAGAGACACAAAATCTTTATATACATATTATAAAAGGAGTAGCAAATCATTTATATATATTTAATAAAGATATAATATATAAATATATATTTTCATAGCTCATTCTGTTTTTCCCTCTACTGGTTACTTTTTCTCACTTTTCTCACAAATGTGTATATATACATTGCAGTAAACTGATTGTCCCAATTCCATGTGCTTTTGGCTTGACTGATTCATCTTCCATTAACAAAATTCTTTCAAGCCAAACCACCATAAGACCAAATTATTTGTCTATTTAAATAAAAATATTTTCATCCAAAACTAATGTTAACACCATGTTAAAGTCTACACAAAATTAAGCTAAACGCAACTGTCCTGTGGCCAAAATTCGGCCATTCTAAAAAAGTGTTATTTTTGACAGAAGTGTTCTCATCAACACTAATTTTTCTGCCGTGCACAAGTCTACTCTATAGTGCACAACAACTAATAAAACACATACTTATGCAATAATCATAAGTCAAGAGAACAAATAAACATATATTACATTTACACCACTGAGCAGTAAACACTAAAGAAAGAAGATAGACAGATTTATACAGATATTAACATTAGCAGGAGTATGATAATGTAATAAGTAGTGATGTCTGGGAGGGAGGGTCTGCTGCTGATTGGCTGGAATGTGTCTGCTGACTGTGAGGTACAGGGTCAAAGTTTACTCAATGATGAGTCCGTGGCGAACCGTTCGTGGCGAACCGTTCGGCGAACCGTTCGGGACATCACTAGTAATAAGTAGTAATTAGATATTGTAGCAAGTAGTATACAGATATTATTAAAAAGAGGAATGCACGTACATTAACAAAGCTGGTTCTACCAAAACAGAATACACCTGTATAGAGCAAGGTAGAGTTTTCCGAGCTTTGTTTTAAAGCTTGTATCAAGAAGAGTGTGTAATAAAACATTGCAATACAGAAACAAACCATCAGGAAGCACCTCTTGCTGATATGAAATACACTAATATGATATGTAACTTCCAGAACTTAATATGAGATTTATAAGATATAAGACATTGTTTGTGTAACACAGAAAAACCCTCAGTAAGTACAGCTATATGTGCAATTTAATTGTGATGCTCAAATAAAAACTTAGCTATATACACAATTTTTATATCTAGATTTTAA